TATATATTAAAATATACATATACATATATAGCTCTGACTAAAGAAACATTGGGAAAAGTGATGTACACCATTTCCAGGCTTGGTGCCTAAATTCTCCTATGATATTCTTGACTTGCTCTTTCTTCTATGGCTGGTTATAGAACTCAAAAAATCCAGTGGAAGACTCTAAAGCCCTAAGAAATGACAGAGCCACAAATGGAAGGACCCTTGATCCCTGTATTACTGTGTGGAATGCTATCTACCAAAAGCCCTACTAGACTCTCACATGAGCAATACCAAAAATCACTGTCATTTTAGTTCTTTTTTTAAGTAGCTAATATATCATTTATTTATTCAAAAAAATATGTTCTGAAAACTTATGAAGAGCCAGGCATTAGTGGTGAAGGTGAGGAAGGAATATCAAACACAGTCTGTGATGAGTAAGGAATGTCTCCTTTCCTTATGATACCATTTGAAGTTTAATCACAAAGGAATTTATCACAGGGACAAGATGTGGAAGGAGTATGCCAGGAAAAGGAGCAGAGGTAAATGATGGACAGAAGATCTAAGTAGATAATAGATCATAGGAAATAGATTTGGGGTCTCTTGGTTCTCCTCTCTCACTCCAAGGCCTTATAGATTTCCATCATAGGTCTCCTGAGAAATATTCTGAAGGGATAAAAATGTTTCAATATTAATCTTTCCTTGTAGTAAATGATCCCTTTGAGGGACCCTACTAGAATCAGGATGACACCAGACCCTCCACTTCAATAATATCCTTTATTAGGGAAGGCTCTCAGGAATCCAGATGGGCCCAGAATGACCAAACTAGACGGACAAGTGAAATTGTCAAAGCCACATTTTACAGATGTGACAAAAACTCAAAGAGAGACAATGAGATAACCAAATTCTCGCAGAGGTTAGTTTCTTGAACTAGAGCCCAGATTCTTAGATTCCTAGCCCAGTGATTTTTGCATTAAATTTATTTGTGAAAATGGATCTTTTGTCTACCTCAAGGTTGAGAAGAGCATTAAGGCTAATTTAACTTTAATTAGGGGGAGAATAACGTTTGTTAAATTCCTGCTATATACCGGGCATGGGACCAAACACTCCATACTTTCTCATAGTCATGTAGTAGGTACCATTTATTCGGTTTACAAATGACATGCTGGAGACTGTGGGATACTATGTGAGGCTTTCTACCTTCAAGGACTCTTAGCTTCCTTCCTTCATCCTTACATCAGGCAAAACAATGTTCTGGAATTGACTTTTGCTTGGAGTCAGTGTCTCCTAGTTTTCCCCTAGTGATGTAACAGAGGATGACAGAAACCTCACCATTTCACTGCTACTCTACTTTGTGGTATCCCACAGCAAAGCCCTGGCTGTCCATTGTTTATAAATTCTGCCTGGTGTCAGGCATAGTAATTAGCATTTAATCCTCAGAAAATTGTGTCCTGAAATTTTATTGGAGAAAATACAATTAAATCTCTTACTAGGTAGATATTCATTCTGACACATAATTTCTCTAAATTTAAATTGTGAGTATATACATATACATATATATATATATATATATATATATGGAATCAAATAACTTGTTCAAAAAGACTACTACCTTCGTCACTTATGAATAGATGCAATTTTTACCAATTTTATTGTTTTACTGGTCAACTTAATAAGAAAAATATGAATGAATATTGTGTGTGTGTGTGTGTGTGTGTGTGTGTGTGTGTGTGAGTTGTCTGATCAGTATTATTCATCAAACTTAAACTTGGTCTTGGAAGCTATTGTGTAAACACAGGAAGTAATTTTGAAAATTAATTTTTTTGCTTGATCATTGTTTGTCAGTAGTGAATTTGAATTGTTCACATGAACGCCATATCTTACAAATAAGAAAGCTAATCATAGTTGGATGAATATTGAGGAAATGTGATAGCCTGATTATTTCCAGTATTTGTGGGTATGAGGCTCTAGAGGGTACGAGAGTAAATATGTACAGGACCATGTTTACGAACAAAAGTTGCAAGTCAAATAAAACGAATAAGTTCTTCTGTGCTGGGTGGCCAAGGTGAGGTCAATATCAATATTGGCATTGGCACTGCCAACTCCATGTTTTGCATGATGATAATTAAATCAAGACGTGTTAGTGACAAAAGGCTTATCAAACACAGAATGTTTTAGTATACAGGTTGGTTTGTTTGACAAAAGTGACACCCATCTTCTTTCGCAAAGCTACTGCAAAATTCATATCCGGCCTTGCAAAATTTTATGTTGGCAGCAAAGACTGTAAGGTGCAAATTCATTGGACATTTGACATGCTTATTATTCATCATTAAAATAACGATATTTATTTTCTCAGGAAACAAGGATGCTTACCTTTACCCCACAGAAGCAAAATGTATAACAAAAATTATAACTGTTACCTGGGACTTCAAACATAAACTTATTGAATCTGAAAATATTTTTACACACTAAGAAAAGTACATATGTTGTCCCATTTCCCTAATTGGAAAACTAATATATAACAAGTTTAAAATATATACCAATTTTTCTATTTCTTTAGGTAATTGTAATAGGCATCAGTCAGGTAAAGCCACTCAATACCAAACTCGGATTTCTGAGAGACTAGGTCACTAGCACCTTTTGTGTATGAATATATTTATTGTATGCATTATTCATTATTCATTTTATGTATTCATTATTTATTTTATTTATGCATTCAACTTCTGCCAAATTTTAAAAGGGAATTTTGCTGTCTTAAATTCTTTGCAGAGGAGGGAAAAAGTAGTTTTAACAAAATTCTATTCAGAGTAAATTTCTACATGAGATGACAATATTGAGGTGAGTCTTTTGTTAACCAAGATAAAAAAGAAAATGGGATGTAACCTTTCTGTCGTGATTTGCATAAAACAAAGTATTTGCTTTTATAGCATAGGTAGTGACAATTTTTGAAGCCGTAAACTGAAGGAGAAATTCATCTGTTGCTTTATATGTACATGCATACACACACACACACACACTTCACTTATGTAACAAAGATGGTTGTCAACTGAACCATCAAATCACCTGTGTTACAAATGAGAGAAGCAATTAGGTTCCTTCATGAATTCTTCACAGGGCTTTCAAGGGTGGTGACTGGCTACAGGAAAGTAGAGGTTATTTGTAGTTTATTTCCAGGCTAAATAGATGGTGAAATCTCTTGATTAAAAGATATCATACTTCCTCAATGAATTTCTCATCCATAAAGATTGACTCTTTGTGGGAGAACTTTCCAAATATATTTAAGTGTCACTAATAAAATGTGAAGTGGGTTTCCAAACATATTCAACACTCATTGTGTGTACACCAGGACTCTTACTCATGTAAAAGTTCTGTTTAAGCAGAACCGTAACTGCTTCCTTGGAGCCTACACTCATTTGCTGAAGTTTTTAATCTGGACTATGCCGGCTAATTACATTTCTTCCTCTAAACTGCAGCCCTTCACCTGTTTAGAGATGTTTGCTGTAAGTGGCAGCTCCAGAATTTCAGTGCAGAGAGAGTTCAGGGGTGGTCTTCTGATTGCTGAAGGGGCTGGAGAACTTGCTGTAAACCTACCTCTATGCAAGTGTGCTGTTCTCTTGCCCACTGTGTATTGATTTGTACTGACTCAGAGGAAAAGGTGTTATATAGACTATGAGATTGATCTTTAGCTATTCCCATCCCTAGCCAATTCCTGGTACCATCACTGTCTATCAAAAAAACTTGAAAGTTTACAGGCAGTGCCCCCTGATCTATGGCAAACAAATTAGAATAATTCTACTCCCAGCTCTCCATCACTCAGTTACTTGCAGGGAAAAGCTACAGAGGTACCTCTGTTTGAAGCCATCTGTGAGGGCAATGTCCCTGCAAACCCATGTTGTATCCTAGAAAAATAAGTGGATCAAGGAATCAAGGCCCCCAGGTTAAAAACCAGCAATTAAAGACTTATTAGGTAAAACGGGTGGGTGGGCTGATGGTTCTCATGACTGATGTGTGCCTCTCAAGGACCTCTTACCTGCTGGATCATAACATTGAAGTTTGAGTGTGGTGTAACCTCTTAGAATTGTTGGGGATGCTGGCCATGGAGCACCAACATTTTCCTGAGCCTGCTGTTCATTAAAAAATTCCTCAAATAAACTGTTTTAGCCTCTGAGATGAATGGCATAATTCTAGTTAGATTCTTTCTGATCTTTAAATATATTCCCTGATAGACATGCCCAAATCCATTGTAACAATATTGACAATGACAATAATGATAATGTTCTTTTGTTTGTCCTGTTTGGCAGCATATCAGGGATCTTGACACTTGTTCTTCAAGCATCCCTGAATGGGTGGGGTTAGCACTCTGTGTTACAGCAAACAAAACCGTAGTCCCAATAGGTGGCATGGCTTGTTTTCCATTGTGCAGCTGATACATTGCTATAGCCCTGGGAAAGCTGAAATGCCTCCACCTAAAGGGGGTCCGGGAAGGCAGGTAAAGTTCAAAGGAAGTATTTGGGTCACAGTGCTTGAGAGTACAACTTTCTTTATGAAGGCACAAAGGAGTTCAAGTCTGAAGCCAGAAGGGAGTGCAAAAGGGCAAGAAGAGGCTGAGAGAGGCTGCTGCCCCTGGGAAGTGGTCCAGCCATCTGTTTGGGTCACATTTGGCTTTCTCATTCTTTCTTTTACTGCTCACTCCTCTCCAATCAGGTTTCACAAAATTAGACAAGGTCAAAACTTCTTGTTATTGTGCCCTATGAAGGTCTGGGCTGAAAGACCTAGGTCAGCTCTGCTGCAGGTTTTGGGGAAAGCTCTTTGGCACTTCTATGGAGCAGCTTGCTCTTCCTGGACTGGATTTTCCTCTGCATAAGAGTGGTTAGACTGAGGAAACTAAAGTACTGTGGTATAAGTAAAGACTCCCACCATGGCCCATTTCAAACTACCAACTTGACACCCACTGGCTAGCAAAATTCCTAAAAATTCAACTACTGGCCCTTACGAGTCAGTACAAATTTCTCCAGCATCCAGCACAGCACTGGTTAGCAAGTGTCCAGGGGAGAGCAAGCATTCAGCTTTGTCTCTTGACAGGCATTTTTCACACCACTCCGTCTAGTTCGCCAGGGACTGGCTGTGTAGATATTTAGGGCCAAAGCGTACAGTTACAAAGAGAATACATGGTTTTGGCTTTATCTTTGGTACATTTATTTCCCTTAGAAACCACAAGGAGACCAATGGGTGACACATCAAAATAGAATGTCCAGAATATTCTAATATTCTGATAATTCCCCTTCTCCCAACAAACAAATGTGTGTGTATACGCAATATACTCACAAACATAAACATTCCCACTGTATGAACAACATGTATAAGCTCTTACCTAAGCAGTGCAAATGTTTAAGAGGTTGGGCTTTATGATGAAATCGACATAAATTTGATTCCTAGCTCTTTCTTGTAGACAGGTTGCTTAAACTCTATCTTATCTGTAAATTAGGGGTATTAATAAATGTCTGATAAGGTTGTTCTACAGATTAAATTAGATAATAGTGGTTGAAGGCTTATTAACATCCAATTTTTATTGCAGTTTCTATTTTCTCTATACCTGCCTCAGTAAATTCTCAACTGCTGTCAACATCTTGCCTGCCTGTTCTTTGTGGACACTTGGCGGATAAGCTGCCAAGTACGTACGTGAAGGCGGGGTGACATTTATTTGGTTCCTGTTTAAGCTGATTGATATGGGTGTTGATAATCTTGTGCATTTTTATTTAAATAATTTTCCCACATGTTCAAATAATATACTTGTCACCTCTTACAATCCTGGGAACAGATCTTATCTTCTTTGTCACAAAATGGCACCTGACTGAGTAAACACAAATACAGAATGGAGAGGCTGAGCCTTGCTCACCATTTGAAACCTGATTCAGAAAGGCAAACAGACAACATGGCTGCTAGGCTTAGCCTTCCAGAGCAATTTTAATCAAGAAAGCCATGAGTACAGAAATCTCTAAAGAGCAAATAAAACATTGTTAAATTGACAGAAGGGCTATATTAAATCCTTATAGAAAGAGCAAGAGGGCTGGTGAATATGAATATTTAGAAAGCAAAATAGTCCCTAAGGACCAAGGGTTAGATAGAGATCAACATCTCACCTTCTCCACAACTTGACAAATTCAGCTTTTACAAATTTAGTTTTTATTTGTATCAGTGTGATTTACATGCATAACTTAAAGAATCAAATAATTCAGTGATAAGAAGTACATTGAGTTCGTTTGGCTCGTGCTTTCCGTATTTGCCTCCATATCCTCTAAATAACATGCTTATAATATTCCTTCTTAATTTTTATTTTAGCTTAGATATTATAAATTAACTTCCCAGCATGGGAAATGAGGATTTAGCTGTCTTTCCTCCTCCGCTCCACTTAATCCAGACACGCTTTTGTTCGCCTGGTCCCACAAGATAGCTATGTTTTCACTGTGGCTCGGTTTTCAATATTTATATTACAATGATTATATAAGTGTTATTTGCAGTTGATTGTGTAGTATATTTCCTTCCCTGCACAGTTCACTCATTTTCCAAAAGATTTTTCTTTTGCTTAGTTTTTCTAATAAATATCACTAATTTATCTCCAAATTCTTCCCAAGTAGTGAAAAACCGCCTTTTAATACATTCAAATACAGTAGGTAATTATTGATTTCGTCTTGAAGAAATACCCTCAGAGCCTCCTGAACTGGTCTTATGTAGACAGATTATTCTCTAGATCTCTTGGATGACTGACACTTGGAATCTTCATTTGCCATTATCTTGGGGACTCATTTGCCTGTATTCTGTGTTGGATCCACCGTTCCCTGGATTCCACTTTTGCCTTGGTTTTCTCCCTCTCAGTGTATGCTTTCTCAAATCGCTTCCTAAATGAGGTTATATGATCTGTAATTTTTGAGAACTTTTAAGTTGAAAACATTTTTATGTTACTATACCACTTAATGGATGACTTGGTCAGATATAACATTCTCAGCTTGAAGAATCCGTTTTGAATACATTGTTCAGTTTTCTCCTAGCTTTTAGGGATGCTTTGAAAAGTCTGTTACCTTTCTGGTTTTTGATTCTTTGTATGGAAATATCCTTTCTTCCCCTTTTTCTGAAAGACTTTAGAGATTTCTTTGTGCCCAATGATCTAAAGTTTTATGATGATGTGTTTTGATGTGGATCTATTTTCATTCATTGTGCTGAACCCATTTAATCTGAAAACTCCATCCTTCAATTCTGAACATTTTTTTCCATTTCTTTAATAATGTCTTACCCTCTGTTTTATAGATTCCATTTTTTTCCTGCACTTTATATTTTCAGATGTTATACCTTCTGATATGGTTCATTTATTTTTTTCTATTTTACATCTTTTTTTGTATTTTTTTTTCTGGATTATTTCCTCGGATTTATCTGGAAATCCTCCCACTTAATGTTTTCACTTCAGCTCTCATTCTTAACCTTTCATCCAATGCTCCTTTCCTATATAATACCATTCTTCTTTCATCAATACCAATTTTTCTCTCATCTCTTGGAGCATATTAATAATAGTTTTTAGAAATCTTCATGTCCATGCCTAGGCTGTTCTTTTTGGTCTCAGGATTTCAAAATACTTTCTTCAAATATCTCATATTTAAGTGTGGGGCACTAACAGCTCTGTGTACAGAGAGGACCGTCCATGGGCTTCAATATAGGATTATCTGGCTGGACCATTTCATATCCCAATGTCAGATTTTTTTCCCTGTGGAATGATTCCCCAGAAAAAGTCTCCTACAGCCTCTGCCTTAAGGGTGTGAGCCTGGATGCCCGCATCCCAGAGGTTGTGTGAGGAGAAAGTGTGAATATTTAATCTGTGGTAGGTACACATTTCATTACCCCCTTTTTAATTCAATAACCCCTTTTTAATTCAATAACCCCTTTTCATGGGGCATGGACCCACTTTTCAACTCTGCTCAGTATTCTGCAATCTCTTACCCTCTTAAGAGAAAGAAACCTCCAATATGCCAGGATAGTCACTTAGCTGCCTGGTAAAAGTTAAGGGGTCTCATATATTTCTAAATACACTTTCGATCAATTCTCTTACTTGGACCTCTCTTTTCAGAGGTACCTAATGCTACCCAGCCTGGGATTCTGCAGTGGCTTCTGAGTAAATATAGAAGTCTGTTTACTTTTTTTGCTTAATTTGGCTCATATTTCTCTTGCTTATATTTGAATTATAAGATTTGGAATTATAATTATGCTTTACGGAGTCTACTAATTCAATTCCCATCTGCTTTCCATCTTCCAAAAAGCTCTGCTTTCTTCTGATTTCTGTATCCTTCTGGGTTTCTGCCTTTATTTTTTAGTCCTTAAACTATTGTTCAAATGGAGTTTTGAGACAGAAGTGGAGAAAAACGCATGTGTGCAATTCATGACCTTTAACTGAAAGTCTATATATTTACTTTTCAACATGATTTATCCTCAGTTGCACTCACTGTACAGTTTATTTTTCACCTTTGTATTATTCTTTGTCCACTTTGTCCATTCTTTGTCTTTTTTTTGAACAGAGTCCCACTCTGTTGCCGAGGCTGGAGTGCAGTGGCGCAATCTCAGCTCACTGCAGCCTCCGCCTCCTGGGTTCAAGCAATTCTCCTGCCTCAGTCTCCCAAGTAGCTGGGACCACAGGCGCATTCCACCACCCTTAGCCAATTTTTGTATTTTTAGTAGAAATGGGGTTTCGCCATGTTGGCCAGACTGATCTTGAACTCCTGGCCTCAAATGATCCACCCACCTCAGCCTCCCAAAGTGCCGGGATTACAAATGCAAACCACTGCTCCTAACCTTTTTTTTTTTTTTTCATTCTTTGTCTTTAATGACTAATTAAACCTCATATACAAAATAGCTATTACTAGACAGACCCTGTTCCTTGTGTTGTGGAAACAGCAATATAAGAATAGAACTCTCTCAGTAGATTTTGGTCATGATAAGAAGAAAGTCGTAAGATACTGTAAAGCAGTCATTCTACTGAACTTAAATATACTCTGATTTTTCTCTACTTTCCCATCACCCTTTTGGTTAATCTAAAATTGCCAAAATGTTTGTTTTTCTATATCTTTTAATGCCTACAACATAAAGATAGGTACTTTTTTTTTCCCCATTTATTTATTTTATTGCATTTTAGGTTTTGGGGTACGTGTGAAGAACATGCAAAACTGTTGCATAGGAACACACGTGGCAGTGTGATTTGCTGCCTTCCTCTAAATATTCTTATATTTTAGCTCCAATATTGATCAGCTTCTCTGCCATGCTTTTTCTTCCTCCACTTTATACATAATGGATCTTCTTGATCCTTTTTTCACAACACACACTCATCACGCACATAAGAACAGTCTGTTCTTATCTTTATTTCTGTAGTCCCTAGCTGTAACCAAAGATAAAAAGAGAAAGCCATTGCTCAATGTAAGTGCTTGCTTTAGTAGGAAGGTGCATATGTAACCAGTAGTTTTAAGATAGTATAGTATATGCACTAATAAATGTAATTAAAAATGATTTATTCCTTCTTCAGATCAAGGAAAACTGCCTGAAGATGGTTGCAGCTGAGCTATTTTGAAGAATAATTAGAAGTTGACCAGGCTCTTTCCATTATAATCTCACACAATCAAGTTGTCAGTTAGCTTCCTTATTATGCTATAAGCATATTAATGCAGGGAAAGTGTTTGTGTCACATCTTGAATACTTAATGTCTAGCATGGCGCCTGGCACAGAGTAGAAGCTCAGTGAATGGTGAATGAGTTAGAGATACAGAAGAAACAGAAAGTTGAATTAAATCTGTATTGTTTTCAGAACTTTCCCTGAATTAAAAATAAGAAAAGCAATTGAATAACTTGATTTTCCTATGACATTTTTGATTAATTAGATATAGTTATTTACTGTTTTATTCTTTTCTAATGAAACAATATTTTTAAATTATATTTACTTTTCAAAACTACCTGACAAGGTCTAGTAGCTAGATTGAAATAGGCTGCAGTTGATAAAACCTTGTAAGACACTCGATTATCTCTCTCCTTCCAAAAGGATCCAAATATTGTCGTTTTCAGTCAACTATTAGGTTGGTGCAAAAAAGTAATTGTGGTTTTTGCCATTACTTTTAATGGCACTTTTATATTTGTAGTCCCTTGTTGGAAACAAAGATAAAAATAGAAAGCCCTTGCTTGACAGAAGTGCTTGTTTTACTAGGAAAGTGAGTATGTAACTAATAATTTTAAGATCGTATAGCATAAGCACGGATAAATGCAATTAGTGAATGTTACTATGAAAGTAATCGCCATTACTTTTAATTGCAAAAAGCACAATTACTTTTTTGCACCAACCTAATAAAAATGTAGTGGCTTAATCTAAGATTCAGAACTGACCTCAGTGCAAAGGTTGAGAAATAACACCAGGGAAATAACACTAGAAATTGAGACTGTGGTATTCTGGGTAACTTAACAAGAGCCTGAGTTGGAAACCTTGGTTTCCTGGCTAATGAGATACATATAAGCAGAAAACAACTGCTGAGGTTGCTCATTTATAAAGAGAATTGTTGATCTGGAAGGAAGCTTTCTGTACACATTTATATTCATATTTGTATCCCAGATTTTTTGAAGACAACAGAAGCATCAGTTGAAGATTCCTAAATCCACATATGAGACTCAGAATTGATGCATGCTGCTATACTGTTAATTTAAATATAATTATCTAAAACAAATGGTCAGCAGTCAATGGGACTCTGGTGCCAACTTCTAATTCCTCCTTCTAGAAACTTTGAAGTGCTCCAAGTGCATTTAAGAAGAATAGTTTAGCTGGGCGAGGTGGCTCACGCCTGTAATCCCAGCATTTTGGGAGGCCGAGGCTGTTGAATCATGAGGTCAGGAGTTCAAGACCAGTCTGACCAATACGATGAAACCCTATCTCTACTAAAAATACAAAAATTCGCAAAGGATGAGTGTGTCTGTAGTCCCAGCTACTCGGGAGGCTGAGGCAGGAGAATCACTTGAACCTGGCAGGTGGAGGTTGCAGCAAGCTGAGATGGTGCCACTGCACTTCAGCCTGGATGACAGAGCAAGACTCAGTCTCAAAAACAAACAAACAAACAAAAAGAATAGTTCTGTTAGCTTTGTGCAGTGGCGGTATCATAGCCAATGAGGTATATCCGAGGCACGATTATTGCTAATTGAAAACTTTTCCCGGTACCCGACAATGACAACTTGAAATATAGTTGGCATTGGCAATTTTTGACAGTCTCTATGGAGACAGAATTTAAAAAAAAAAAAAAGAATAGTTCTGTTTAGGTTTAGCCAGGATTTTTCTCTTTCACACTATTAGGTCCTGATGATCCTCTTTCAAAGAGGTCAAAAAAAAGTGTGCGTTCAGGCTCATAGATGCCCCCTACGGGTGACACAGGCAGTCTCAACCTCACTGTAGACCCCATTAATCCCCCTTCACCACTTGGACTCCAAAGGTATTTAACTTTTTCATCTCTTATTATTGGACTATTTGACCCTTATGTTTTTATGATCTGCTTGATACCCAGGACATTCATTAATCATTCAATTTTAAAAAATAATTGTGTTTAATGACAAATTGTGTCATTGGTCAGCAGCATAAGCACAGCACACACTCCATAGCACAGTAGCCTGGGCTCTGGGTTTGAAGCCCAGCAACACACCTCAGAGACTTCAGGAGGTAGGTCACTTAGCTTCTGACTTCAGTTTTGTCTCAGAGCTTGGTATCATGTCTAATTTTTGTAAATCAGAAATAACACATCTTTGTAATTAAGAAAAAATTTGTGATTTTCAGTCTAATGTTTGTAATTCAGAAATGACACATCCAACTTGTCAGTTCTAAAGACTGAATGAAATTATTCACGGATGTACCTATAGCACAGGTGGTAAATATTAATTCATTTTCTTTCTTTTTCCTCCTCCTGCTGTTGGTTGTCATCATCATTGTCATTATTATATTGTTTTATCGCTGCCTTGTCCTAGGTATAGGAGCTCTAAAAAAATTGAACAAGACAAGATGTTTAAACTTGAAGAACTCACACTTCAGTAGTGAAGAGATACAAACAGTGTAACAAGTGGAATAAGAGATTCATTTTAGGACTTATAGGAGCAAACTCATAGGAAAGGAAGGAAAAGTAGGAAGAGTCAGAGGAGCTACTGCCCAGATAATATCCCAGAATTGGAATCTTGTAGGGTGTATGTGCTGGAGTCAATATCAGGCTTTTAAAATATGCTCAGTCTTGTCTCTGAGCTCATAGCTGAATGTCTTAAAAAACTGTTCTTATCTCAACATGTTAAAAGTAATATGTGTTATTTATAATGTTTATAAAAATATGTAGAAGTAAAAGGAGTAGAAAAACCAAGTTATGTTTTCCGCTCTTAGTGTTTAGTATATTCCTTTTCAGTTTTTTTGTTTTCGGGCATGGTGTTTTTTGGTTTGGTTTGGGCCATATTTTATGAAAGAACTGCTTTAAAATCCCCTACCCTAGTCCACAGCTGGTGATCATAGAATGACTTGTTCCCTAGTGCCCTATCTCAGTTACCAGCAACAAAAAGAGGTGCTTTGGTGAAATACTAACACTATCCCATTCCCATTTCCTGGCCAGCATACACGGGAAATACACATGGTGTGCCACTGGGCTATTACTGGAGATGAATGGGATCTGAGTGCTATGAACTGACTTTGCATAGTAGCAAGAGTTTGTTTCTAGAATCGGGGCTCCAAGTGCTTTCCTTCTACCTTGTTTTCCTTCTGTGGTCCTGGAGCCCATGACTAGAGTTATTTTAAGGGAGGGGGGTGAATATTTTGGCAATAATATAGTCAGCCCAAAAATGTAGACTAATTCCTACCTCTGTAATTTCCAAACAGACAGCTTTGAAAATATTTTTTTACCTAAGTACTAATGACCTCAAGGAAGGAAGGAGAAAAGGAAAAGATTAACTGAGCATTGACCACAGACTCCTCTTGTGCTGGCCCATTCACATGTTATCTCCTAGAACCCTCACCATAGTCCTGGAAGACAGACCCTGGATTATAGATGGGTCAACTGAGGCTCCAGAAGTTTAAATTTTTTAGAAGCCCATGTGACTAGAAAGTGGTACAATTGTGATTCCAACCCCCCCAGATAAGATCAAATTTCCCTAATAAACATTCCTGGAGTTGTGTTTGCTTCCACTTAGCCTATTTGGAAGATTAAATGTAATTGTATTGTTATTACTTGAAATTAATTAATCTCTTTCTTCCCTTCCTGAGGTCCTGAATTCTAATTTTAGCTGATTGACTGTTGTAAATCCAGCACAAAGTATGGAGTATGAAAAAAGAAAACGCTAAAGCTCAGTAAATAGCTGTTCAATATATGAATGAATAAGTGAGTAAAATCCGGGTGTCTTTCATTTCCAAATTAGAGATTTCCAAGTTCTTAGTACACTTCTTCAGTTCTCTGAAAACTGCATTTAAGCTGACTAGAGGTAGAATGTCATTCTAATACAAAGGGATAGTCAAGGTCTTCCTGTTTACATTTTATCCTCCTTTAAGCTAGGAAACTGGAACTTTTCCCCAACTCTAATGAAGTTGTAGAAAATAGAATTTGTGACAAAAATTGAGGGTGTTAAAATAATAAAATCTGGGTAGGACCAAAGGCAGCCCTTCAATACTCTTTTCTTCCAAATGTTAGAAGTGAGTATGACAGGAACATCTTCATTTAACTTCTAAATTTTCAATAGTCTTTTCTTCCTGAGATAGGGCAGAAGGAGAGAAATCAGAGATGGACACTGGATGAAGAACATCAAGCCCCAGCCTAGGAGACCTGCAGATTCGTAGCACAAAGTATTTAGAAACATCTTCCTTCGACCAAAACACTGCCCTCTGAAGTGTTCACTTTTAAATGAATCTTGTATTTCAGCAGAAGGCAAGTGATCCTTCACTCTGTGTTTGAAATTCCAGCAGTCAGTCAATGACACCCTGAAGTGAGGCCCACTTGCAGATGCAAATGAATCATTTTCACCCAGTATAGGCCAGTGTAGGGTAAACGCATCTGATAGCAATAACCTAGGCAAACCCTTAGACTGACCCTGTTTTGCAGACACACGTGAATGTGTATTTTGAGCTAGGGAATCTGGGAGTGGCCAACCCAAAGATTTATTTCTCGTCTATGAGAAACATCTGAGCCCCGCCCCTTCCTGTGGAACATGGGGCTCTAAGGGGATTGAGGCACTGAGTTTCGGGTTAAGTAAAGGCTGCCAGGTGGAGGTCATTGTGGGGAAGGTGTTCAGTGAAAATGCTCTATCTATAAATTGGATGATGTTTGCAGGTGGTTGCAGTTTTTCTGCCCAGCCCACCGCCACTGGGCTATGCGGTTATCTTGTCTAACTTACACCACTGTGTTACAGGCAGAGGGGTCTTGACTCAAATTGTTCAGGTTCTTTGCATTTTGAACAAAGAATTGGGCAGAACACGTAGCAAAGCAAGAAAAGAATGAGACAATGAAAGAAGGAAAGCAGGGATTTATTGAATGTATACCCCACGGTATGTGAGCGGCCCCACGCAGCAGCTCAAGGGCCGGGTTACCGAATCTTCTCGGGTCCAAATACTCTCTAGAGGTTTCTCATTGGCCACTTAATGCTCACCTCATGTAAATGAAATGGTGGCCGGCAATAGGTCTGATTAGGTACAGAAAGGAACCAGCCAGAGGCTGAAGTGGAATTACAAAGGGCACACTCCAGTGCAAACATCTGATTGGCTGCAAAAAGCAACCAATTAGAGGCTAAGGTGAAGTTACAAAGTTGTGCTTCTATGCAAAGGAGGACTCAGTCCACAGTTAAGTCTGATTGGTTGTGCACAGCCAATTTCCCATCTGCCATGCAGAAAAGGTGGGGGATTTGCAAAGGGAGTAGCCTCTGGTCCTTTTGTTACTTGGGAGTGGAAAGTTAGGGTTTTCTTTTCGATTTAGTTCTAGGGAGTCAGCGTGAAACGGCCTGAGGTTCCCTGCCTCCAGAGCCTGTTCCCCTGCCTTAACTGGACTCTCTCGCCTGTATGTAAACCCCTAATGAAACTCCATGTCTTCTTTGCTGACTCTGGGTCTCTTCTTGGTCCTCTTGAACCCGGCGTCTTCCCTACTGGGGTTAATAGAAGTTCGGAGACAACACTCAGTTGCAGTCTTACATCCCTAACTCTCATCACAGAGCACCCTAGGGGATCTCAGAAAGGAGCTCAACACAGGGCTCTGGAGGTGGGTCTTGGGAGGTCTTAAAACCATCCATCCCAAAAGTTTTACCTCTCCCAGTTTTCTTTCTCTCCCCACTAAAATTACATTTCAGTGTAAGACTGTCTAGTGTACATTGCCCTTGGTTCCATCCTTGTGTTTTGTTGGTGGTTTTGTTTGCTGTGAGTTTTTCTTTTAATTTTTACTGAACATGTACTTTGGCCAAATTCCATGTCAGATACTTTATATGGATTATTATTAATCATTATAATTCATTTCGTCCAATGAAGTAATTCTATTACATTATTATCCCCAGCTTGCAGAAGAGGAAACTGAGGTTTAGAGAAGTAACTTTGCTTGTCCAAATCAAATCATAAGGATTAGAAACTGAAATTGTCCACAGATGGCCATACATAGGAGCCCACGTTTTAAAGCCATGCACTGTATTCTGTCTCAGGGACTATTTCTCACCTACACGATAACAAATTTCCCCTGGCTGTCCTTCTTGATTCTAGTCCAGTCTCCAACACTCCATCCTTCATAGCAACCTCCAGTGTAACTTTTTAAAAACTTGACTTAGTGCTATTTAAATATAGGCTAACATAAAAGTAGCTATACACTCTTTACACTTGTGGCTCTCTTAAAACTATTAAACTCAAACTATAAAAATGATATAATTCAAATGGACAAAATAGATTTAATCAGTTAGATATGCTGAAAATTATACAGTTGAAGTTTCACAACAAATTTCAGAGAGCTATATTTCACTTGATGTTGACTTGAACTTGATGATCCAGAGTGATTGTTTTCTTTTTTCAATTTTTTTCCAGACAGAGTCACACTCTGTTGCCCAGGCTGGAGTGCAGTGGCACAATCTTTGCTCACTGCAGCCCTAACCTACCAAGCTCAAGCAATCTTAACATCTCAGCCTCCCAAGTACCCAGGACTACAGATATGTGCCGTGATACTTGGCTAATTTTTGTATTTTTCATAAAGATGAGATTTTGCC